ATCACATTTACATCTAATGGTGCAAAAATCACATTTACATCTAATGGTGCAAAAATCACATTTACATCTAATGGTGCAAAAATCACATTTACATCTAATGGTGCAAAAATCACATTTACATCTAATGGTTTACATCGAATGGTGCAAAAATCACATTTAGATCTAATGGTGCAAAAATTCACATTTACATCTAATGGTGCAAAAATCACATTTACATCTAATGGTGCAAAAATCACATTTACATCTAATGGTGCAAAAATCACATTTACATCTAATGGTTTACATCGAATGGTGCAAAAATCACATTTACATCTAATGGTGCAAACATCACATTTACATCTAATGGTTTACATCAAATGGTGCAAAAATCACATTTACATCTAGTGGTGCAAACATCACATTTACATCTAATGAATACTTTTTAAACATATTTTTAACCAACATTCTTTTGACAGTAGCGCTTGTCACTTGTAACTTTGCTTCAATCCTGGCCGGCAAAACTGGAGGCTAGGGTCTGCACCAAGGGCAACCCCCCAATAAAGGGTAAGCCCCCTAAGAGCTTGGTCTCTTGTTGCTCCATGACGATTGTGGGGCGGTGCAGCTATTATTAGAATGCATATTATATTTACGTCATATATTTTCGTCGTGGAAGACACGAAAGCCGTGAGCGCTTCATTTGCGATATCCTTCAACCACAAGTTGTGATTCGTTTTGGTCCGTGGATTCATCACCACAAAAGACTGTTTCTGTGGTGCACATATAGATGTGTCAGACTTTGGAACAAAAAGAAAATAATAAATTGATGGAGCTTTTATAATTCCTTGCAGTTTTTTTAATGCAATATTCATTTTAAGCCGATGGATAAGGATTGTTAACTCGGATTGCTAAATTTGGATTGTTAAAAAAATTGGATTATTAGCGCGGATTGTTAATTTGGATGTTAGCTTCGATTGTTAATTTCGATTGTTAATTTCGATTGTTAATTTCGATTGTTAGTTTGGATTGTTAACTTGGATTGTTCTCTTCGATTTTTAACTTCGATTGTTAACTTGGATTGTTAACTTGGATTATTAACTTGGATTTTTGGATTTTCAACTTTGAAAACAAATGTATTAAAGTAAATACACCATAGCATTAACGTTTAACAGTAACTAAAAAAGATGTTGTCATTCAACATCAAGCGTCCATTTCTGCAAAAAATAACGTGCTTATTGATTTTTTCGAACGAATTTCTAAGACAATCTGTTGGACAAGCCAGAACGAAAACGGCGATTCCTGGCTCCATTCCTATAGGTGAGTTGTTTTTTTTTTAAATTTTTATTTTCCGTTTTTTTTAAAATATTGTACTTTTTAATTTTAGACCGACAACAACCACTTTTTCTTCCGAGCTCTATTTCATCCCTGAGAACCGAATCACCCCCCCCCCCATACCATCTTTCTCCCTGGTTTATGAGGGTGAATAAACCCAAGATATCCGCTTAGAGTTGTTTTTTTTTTAAATTTTTATTTTCCGTTTTTTTTAAAATATTGTACTTTTTAATTTTAGACCGACAACAACCACTTTTTCTTCCGAGCTCTATTTCATCCCTGAGAACCGAATCCCCCCCCCCCCCATAACATGTTTCTCACTGGTTTATGAGGGTGAATAAACTCAAGATATCCGCTTAGGCCTCAGTTCACAGGATCAAATCCCTTTCAAAATTTTCGTTCATACATTTGATGCGATTTTTTTTATGAAGCCTTCTCACAGCTTTCACATTACTATTTCATCAAATTGTCATTTTTGTCCACAAAAAAAACCCACCAAAAACAAACAAACCAAGCACAAAATAGTGCGTTCATACACCAAAAGTTTGAAGCTAATTAGAAAGGAATTTGATCGTGTGAACTGACGCTAAGGTTGGGTGACCAAATCATGAACTGATAAAAACGAGACACACCCAAGGAGGGTTGTGGGGGACGGGGGTACCCTCCAGCTAAAGAGGAGTCATGGGGCCCTCCGCAGGAAACTGTTTATTGAAATATGTTCATTTTAACTATTTTGAGACCCAGAAATATTTTTAAATTCACCTCCACTTTTTAAATTTAATTTCAACTCTAATGCATATCATAAACGAAAACAATAATTTTGCAGCGTCGGCAGAGTAGTGGAGGGGGGAACAGTGCAGCCGTCACGCGAGCCCACATCACTACTGGCACTGGCGTCACAGCTAGCCAAAATATTACTCGAAGTTATATTATAAATTAGGAAGTTCTAGTGATTTGAAAATGTGTTTCGGTTTTAGAAACGGGACATTTAGGCGTCCCGAGAGACAGCGGGTACGATCGTGAAAAGTCGGGACAATCCCGTCCCTAGAGTCACAGTTTATCCTTCACCTTCTTTAAATGTGAAGAAAGGATGTGGGTTGGGGGGGGGGGTGGAAACGTTTCAAAACAAATGTGGATGAACTATTGTACTGTTGCAAAGAATTTACACAGGGGACGAAGAGGAGGACTATACAAAATAGGTATTTCTTACACACCCTAGTACCCGAGGCACTGACTTTATACAAAGGCGCGTACCTAAACAAGAAAAGCACAAAGCAAACGACATCATAAAATGCGCTTGATGATCACTTCCGCGGCTCTGCTTTATCCTCAAATGAGGAGGAAAATGTGCTTTCAGGTGAAGAGCAAACAACATAATGTCATAAAAGCTGAAACGATCATTGCTGGGGAGAAAACATTACGTCAGATTGGCTCTGGGGCCAGCGTTGATGTGATTCCGAGGAAATTCCTCAAACCCGGACAAGTCATTCCCACAAATACTAAACAACGGTTTTTTTTTTAATGATGGACGCGCACTCTTGCCCATTGGACAGGCAAACGTATTTGTGCAAAATCCAAGAACGACGAAAAGTTACTGTGTTTATTTCATCGTTGTGAGAAATAACATGCCCCCCACCGTTAGGGAAGACAACTTCAGGGTAAAAAAAAGGGGGGCTTATTACTGTACATTACAATACTTTGGAAAATGTCGATGAGTCTTTATCCAAAATTATATCATGTGCCCTAAAAGAGACTTTGTATTTTAACTGTACACAAATGAATCTCCTTTCGTTAGACTTTAGGAATCTCGATACAACGGTAGCTTTGCTTTTCATGCCATTTAGGAAGGGAGAGCCAAACATAAAAAATCTGGCAAGAAGGGATTAGCGGCCTTCGAGAAAAATATAATGTTTTTTGTTTTTTTTTTGGAAGAGGTGGGGGGGGGTGGGGCATTAAACAATTAAGCTTTAGTCACACAATACAAAATCAATCTACTACCAATATATATATATATACCAACGACTGATATATATATATATCACGAGAAAAATATAATGTTTTTTGTTTTTTTTTTGGAAGAGGGGGGGGGGTGGGGCATTAAACAATTAAGCTTTAGTCACACAATACAAAATCAATCTACTACCAATATATATATATATACCAACGACTGATATATATATATATCAATTCAACGATAACTTTAAATCTAGAGCTGTTGCGATAAATCCCATACAATTTTCGCCTCAAACAACACGAGGAATGACGTAAAACTCAAGGCACCAAGAAAACCAGTTATTTAACCCAAACGTGGCGCAAGAAACTCTTTATCCAACATTTGGTTTTCTTAATCTGGGATCAATAAATTTATCGCATGAATAAACAAGGGCGGGATTTACTTCATAAATGGAGACATGCATACAAGTAACGCACATTATTATAAGAATCCCATTTAGTGCCCCCCCCCCCCAAAGGCTTGCAAACACACATTTTTTCCCCACGCCCCTGAACTATATTAATATTGTAATGAACCATCCGCTTTTACACCGCCGATTTATTTCACAAACTATTTCAGAAAAAAAAGAAGAAAATATTGCGCACCAAATGCACTTGCAATATTTTTTTTTTATAAAAAGAATCTCTTTCAGCGAAGTTACCGGGCATTTCCCTTCATTTACCCCTTGAAAAAGAGGAATAAACTTATTTTTGTGATTTGGGGGTTAGGGCTGAAAATTTGCAAGACTATGGTGTCATCGGCAACGCGTCCACGTGCCAAAGTTCAGCTCGATAGGTTGACGGAAAGTGGGTCAATGACATATCCGAAGAGTTTGCTTACCAGTCAGTAAGAAACACATGAACAAAAGCGGAGTTGATATAAATGATTATTATTTTTTAAAATTTTGAACCGTTTCAGGCACTCTGTTCGGCAAATCGTCGGACCCCGTGGTCAAAACGGCCTTCATGTACGCCATGTCCAGATACAACAGCAACAAACACAAGAAGAGCGGCGCCAATTTCCAAATACTGACAGACGACTTTGATGACGTCAGCAACTTTGATTTTTTGTCCAAAAGTAAGTGTGTGCATCTTACGATTTGAATGGTGTTTTGTAAGTGGTGAGCAGGGCCGTGCCGAGGAAAAGCGGCACCCGGAGCGCAACCCCTCAAACTTCCGCGCCTCAACATATAGAAATTGTGCCACCCAGGAGTGGATCAGAAGAAAGACAAATCAGGCACCCTTTGTCTTTGCTAAGTACACTGGTGTTATTGTTTAACTCACTACAATGGTCCTAACTAAAGACAAACGTGGCGCCCCTTGATATTGGCGCCCGTAGCGACTGCCCAATTCACCCACGCCTTTTTTTTTTTTAGCAAGGCCCTGATGATGATATTTTTTTGTTTGTAAAGAAATTGAGTTCAGATATGTTATTTAGTTCACATAGAATGATACAACACGCTCCTATATATTCAGAGATGTTCGACTATAATAATATATACATATATATGTTTTGTAATGGTTCTTTTGATGATTTCTAAAATAAATTAAGCCCCAAAGCTAAAACGATTGATAAACGTATCTTTCTTTTCTTTTTTTAAATCCACATTTTCATAGAAACAATTTTGTTCTATTGAATACAGCTTTTCTCCCAAAGCGTACAAATGTTTACATGCTATTAACGTAATGCGTCCACAGTGTGTACCCAAATGGCCACTGGGATCTTCTTAATATACGGCTCCATGTCCCACACCACATACAGTGCTTGTCGGACCTACAGCGCCAGGCTGCACTTGCCGTATGTGACATACAGCGATGAGCCCTTCACGTCACTTGTAGACGTTGATTCGCCCGGTTAGTTAATGTATACCTAAAACGGTTATCTTAATACGATTGCCCCTTTATACATTCAGCCTTGTAACAAGACAGAGACCCCATTTTCTCCCCATAGACCAATGCGGATTCTTCCGAATGCAACGTTTTCTTTGGAAAGTCCGTTGTTGACCACATCGTCCATTGCTACTGGTATGGCGAAGATGCTGCCTCAAAATCCTTTAAGAAATTTTTAGAATTTTCTTCTTTTACCTTTTTAGTGCGTTTAGACTCGTTTAGACTCGTTTAGACTCGTTTAGACTCGTTTAGACTCGTTTAGACTCGTATTCGAAAGATGGGCTTTGTAATTTTTTTAATGTAAATATTGAAGAGTCACGCACACGCCTCATTATTTGACTTTGGCAGATGAAGACAATGAAGACAATGAAGACAATGAAGACAATGAAGACAATGAAGACAATGAAGACAATGAAGACAATATCCCAGAGAGAGATCTTCTTCTCCTCACCAAGCCGTCTTACGTGGATGCCGTGGCCGAGCTGATCCAAGTCTTCGGTTGGAGAAGAATCGATTACATTTACAGCAACTTTGAAGGTTTGTGTTTTGACAATTGATGAGATGAGCAATCCAGCTCTACGAATGCTAGCATTAAATGAAGGCAACTGTCGCTCAAGGAAACTAGTTAATCACGTAAAAATTTAGATATTAAAATTAAAAATATAATAAACATGTGTTAGTCACAAAAGGAAATCTCCTTCCGAAATATGAACAATGCTATACAGCTTGTATGTATCAATTTAATTTGTCACATTTCATCATGTATGCAGAGGCGTAGCGATGGGGTGAGGCAGGGGGGACAGATGTCCCCGGGCGCAAGCTAGTTAGGGGCGCCAAAATGTGATTTGATATTATATTATTGGTAAAATTAATGGGTTTGAGAGTTGAAAAAAAGAAAAGGGGGCGCTTTAAAATGGATCTTGTCCCCAGGCGCCAAACACCCTCACTACGCCACTGCATGTATGGTTCTCAGTTAATTATTTGATAGAACATAAGCAATGTGTAAGGTAGAGGTTGTGCAATTGAAACCTCGTGTCACACTAGATCGTGTGGACTACATGTCACAAAAAAGGAAAAGTGTAATGGGAGGGGGTTGTCAATGTAACACGTTAAGTAGTTGACAAGGATGTCGAGGATCGAAAAGCTCCTGAGGATTTATGAACAACCTGTTATTGATGGCGTGTTATAGAAACATGGGAACAAGCCGAATAATTATGGTATAAGTAAAATTCTCAAATCACACTGAACTATACAAACTGAAAACATCAATCGTTACGACAGGTTTCCAAAGACTAGAATACATCAAAAAGAAGTTGAGCTTGATTGGCTATGGGGCGGAGCTCACGTGCCGACGTCTGGTTAACGTCAGTGAAGCTCACGATGAGCTCAGGCGCCTGGACGCGGCCAGGAGAGATGACGCCAAATACGTGATCATTGATGTCTTAGACCAGATGTCCTACTCTTTGGTAGTGAAACAGGTAAACGAGTGTAAACACTATGGTAAGAGTTCCTTTAACTGTATCTAACTTTAAAAGGGAAAAAAGAGGACTTTTTAATTAATTATTTAAATATGAATTAGCTTAAAACCAATGAAGAAGAGGTGACGTCTAGCTGGCGTCATTAGAAATATGAGACAGTGGTGATTAGAACTTTGGGTAAGAAAGAAAAACTTTAATTAAATCCCTTCAAGAGCTTATAAAATAATCATTACATTTTTAAAATCTCGTAACTTTGAGCTTTTTCCGGTTACCAGCAAAGTTATTTGTGTCACATGATTTTGAGAAAAGAAATAAAGCACCATAATTAAGTGTTTAGATGTTTTACAGATTTTTTGATTATTTTATTGCAGCAATATGGTATCAGGACTTCAGTTTCAGATCCCTTAATTCAGCATCCAGATCAATACAAAAATTATGAAAATATTTTATTTTCTATACCAGATTATTTTCATCAAGGTCAGATTGCCCATACGACAACCTGGTGGGCAACGGGCCTTGGGCTTTCGGCCGTGATAAGGGCCCGACACAGGCTTCTGCGGCTTTCGTATATCAAATAGTAGAGCAAGGTACGTTGAAGCTTGAATCAATAGACATGAATCAATAGACATGAATCAAAAGACATGAATCAATAGACATGAATCAATAGACAGGAATCAATAGACATGAATCAATAGACATGAATCAATAGACAGGACAATAAGATGAGAAAGTTTCGGCTTAGAGCCTTCTTCAGCGAACAGGACATATGAAAATAAGGAACAGACCACAGTAAAAAAAACTTTAAAGATCTCCTTCCGGCAATAACAGTCTCGTTTCTTGTATTATTTTCATTTGTCCTGTTCGCCGATGAAGGCTCTCCGAAAAGTTATTATCTTATTTTTCTGTCTATTTATTCAAGCTTCAACATACCTTTTTCTACTATTTCATTTACCCAGCTAGAATGCAGTCTTCAATTATTATATTTCGTATATCACCGTCTTCTTTTCACAGCCAGTGTTGATATGTCTAGTAATATGGCGACTTGACCCCTTCGTCCGACTGGACGTTCTTATACTTTACAAAACTGCTCACAAACATCTACGATGAAGGACATTCAACATAGATCACTTGTACTTGACAAAACTGTTCACAAACTTCTACGATGAAGCACATTCAACATAGATCACTTGTGAGTTTGTTTATTGCACCAATCAAGGACCGATATTAACTCTTTTAATTTCGAACATTAATGTACCATACACAATTTATAATCCTGAAATGCTCTTTTTAATGAAAATTCATTAGATTCCGGAAGTTGGCATGAACCGAGAAAGCTACAACTACATTCTTGCGACTCTGGTATGTCAAGGTCATAACATTTCAATAAAATTAATATTAAAATAATATACAACGGAAGCTTTTATGTTCCAACTTTTTTATTTTTTGTTAGAAAAAAATATAGGTCTCTCTAATCTCAAAAATTAAAAAAAATACAAATAACTTGCTGATGGTAGTAGGCCCACTTGTCTCTTGTATTCCCTGCTTTAACTGCCACTTGTCTCTTGTATTTCCTGCTTTAACTGCCATTTGTCTCTTGTATTCCCTGCTTTAACTGCCACTTGTCTCTTGTATTCCCTGCTTTAACTGCCACTTGTCTCTTGTATTCCCTGCTTTAACTGCTACTTGTCTCTTGTATTCCCTGCTTTAACTGCTACTTGTCTCTTGTATTCCCTGCTTTAACTGCTACTTGTCTCTTGTATTCCCTGCTTTAACTGCTACTTGTCTCTTGTATTCCCTGCTTTAACTGCTACTTGTCTCTTGTATTTCCTGCTTTAACTGCCACTTGTCTCTTGTATTCCCTGCTTTAACTACCACTTGTCTCTTGTATTCCCTGCTTTAACTGCTACTTGTCTCTTGTATTCCCTGCTTTAACTGCTACTTGTCTCTTGTATTCCCTGCTGTAACTGCTACTTGTCTCTTGTATTCCCTGCTTTAACTGCTACTTGTCTCTTGTATTCCCTGCTTTAACTGCTACTTGTCTCTCGTATTCCCTGCTTTAACTGCTACTTGTCTCTTGTATTCCCTCGTTTGAAATGAACTTTTATCATTTCTGTTTGGGACAGCACTAACTCATCTAAATGTCATTTATAATTTTTATATTATAATCATTAATATTCCAGTATTTTGAATTCGACAAGAGATGTCACGTTGTGGTGCATTAAATTCAAAATGTTCATTCGCTCATTTATTAGATACTTCTTGCACTTAGCACTAACGTACTCCACGATTTGATTAGCTAATGTTCTTTTTCTCAGTGTTTTTTTTTTTTTTTTTTTGGGGGGGGGGTCCTTTTCTGTTTACGGAAGATGATTGATTCTTACCATTCCCGTCTTTCGTTTCTTTGGGTCTTCTTTTTGCAAGCTTGTTAAGTACCACGCGTCTCATGTTTTCTCAATGTTGACAGGACATTGTTAATTTAGACCTGTCTCGTCTGCACCACGGTGGGGCTACCGTCACTGGATTTCAGATGATTGACGTCAGCAGTCCCCACGTTAGGGTTATTCTGGAAACGTGGAAAAATCTCGATCCGGGGATATGGCCCGGGGCAGGCTCTGCTTTACTTCCGGTAAGTTTTAAGTGTGCTAATTACGCGCATAGAAGCCCCTGTAAACACGATATCAGTAAAAGGAAAAGCTTTCTTCTTTATTTTTCCTATAAGTCCTATCCATTCAATTAGTCATTTAAAATGTGTTTTTATGTATCTATTAAATATCCCTTCCTAACGTCCAGATTGAGGCTGCACTGTCCATGGATGTAATACAGGCAGTAGACGAAGCCATTAGCTTCATGATCCAGCAGGACAAGAACATATTCCAGCATACCTTTAGACGGGGTAGTATCTACAACATGAACAGAACCGTTGGAGTACGTTGTGACCCGACACCTCTGATGCCCTGGATGCATGGGGCTGATCTCTACGGGGCTCTTTCACGGGTAAGACGGTTAAGGGGTGTCACACCTATTCAATACCAGGTTGCAAAACGTTGGTTGGTTTCTTCTGAATTTAAATGGCAGTTGACCAATCAGGTGCTTGCGAGACAAGAAAGGAAGAGAAGTCTTCTGGTGTATATTTTATTAGTTTAATGAAAATTTTGTTTTAAAAATTGTCTTCAGAAGTGGCCTCCACCAATGTTCTCAAAGACCTTCAGACTCGATGGTCATATTTTGCAAAGGCTTGAAAAACAATTTAAAAAATTTATACTGTTGACCTCAAGCTAAATTATGATTAACTGGGGTCCACAGTGCAAGCACTTTTAGGAACTGATATTTATTTAATAATCATTAAAAGCCTAATTTAGAGGTTATTGAAATAATAATTACATTGGAGAAAGACGTAGAAAGAAAGTTAGTGTGAATGGGTTCGTTATGAAGCTTGCTTATGTTGTACACGCAGGTGCAGTTTCAAGGAGTGAGTGGAAACTTTCAGTTTGACAACTTCGGCCACCGGTCTAACTATAGTTTTGACATTTTCTCCATGACATCATTTTCGCACCTTAGAAAGGTGAGTGTTTATATTTCAGGTTGTGTCTAACCCCCCCCCCCTTTTAAAGGCAAGATATGACCACATTGTCCAGTAAAACTTGCTTATTCTCATCTAATTATGTTAATCCATTGATGATCTCAAATGTTTGCCTACTAGACGTAGGTTTACATCATATGGGATTAGGACAAATTGTCTATGGACCTAAAAAAATACTACGTTAGGATGTTTTTTTCTAAATACTCAATTTGTTAGAAAAAAAAGATGGCTAGATTTTTTTTTGTTTCAAATGCTTTAAAAAAAAATTCAATTAAAACTAAACTTCACTATTCATGAATGGTTATTTTGGTCTTGTTTACATGGCAATTCACCCTGCATTCAAATGGGAAAATACCTGGTGAACTACTGAATTATTAAAATTCTGTTACTGCAACTAAAAAAAGGGGGGGAATTATGTCTTGGAAAGTGTAAAGATCGAAAGTCTTTGTAACATCAAGTTAAAAAAAAAAACTGTAGGGCCTACTCATTGGGAGGTCTTTGAAATATTCCCCATTAAAACTCATAAATTGTTTTTTTTTAAATCTTAAATTTCAGATAGGAAAGTGGCATTCTCGTATGGGAATTTTACCAGAAGAATGGAACATCAGCAAGAAAGAAATAACAGAATCAGAGAAACAAAGAGAAAGCATGAAAGTGATCATTACATTATTGGTAGGAAAGGATACTGTATGATTATATGTTATAGTCTGCACGCTCATCAGCAAAGTTGAGTTTTTTTAGGCTCTAAGTGAATGATGAAAAGGATAATAAATGCAGGTATTTGCTGGGAAGAATCCACACACAAAAATGACAAGATATCCTTAAATTAAAACTGGTGGTGGGATCAGTTATTAAAAGGTTTTACTCCATGCCTCCATAGGTCATTGTTAAATAATTTTTTAAAAAAAAATGTATCAAAGAGCCAAGTGGGAAAGTCTTATACTTATACCTTGTAAAATGATTGTTTAAACCAGATATTTCAAATCAATCATGATTTATTTTTGTAAATTCACATTAAATTATGTTTAAAAATATCCATCCTAACGTGGAAAGATTTACAATGCGTAACATCTCTTTTTAGCAACCACCATTTTTAATGAAGAGAGACTACATGCCAAGAGGAGGCACGCCACAAATTGATCAGGACAGATACGAAGGTTAATAAATATAAAGATACTGTGTTTAATAAATTTAAGCCCAAAAAAGAAGAGGTCTATTCTGAAATGCTTAGGAAAATCAAAGATGAAGTGTTAGGATTTTTTTTAAAAATGAAATAATTAATAAAAATAAAAATCTTGACTTAACGACTGAAGTCCTGCTCTTTTAATAATGCTGGCAAGGATACATAATTTTTTTATGGAACAAAAATTTCAAATTCAAATAGAAATATAAAATTTATATTCCTATTTGAAATTTTATGCTATTGATATTGAGGTCCAAACAGTTATCTTATAATATAATAATAAATAAAATGTATCTTGTTGTCAAGTACATCTTGTTCTTACATGGAAGAATGATGTAGGCTACTTTGCTGAAATAAGCGTTAAGATTACTGAATAGCATGCAAGTCTTTTTTTTTTTTTTTGCAACTGTTGTAATGTGTCTTTCCTTGATGTAACAAAACCTTTCTATTCTATTTTATGCTCAGGTTACACAAAAGATCTTGCTCAAGACATTGCTAGCCATCTGGGGATAGATTATGTCCTGAGGATTGCTGAAGATGGGGAATACGGCAAATACCTGGGGAATGGGACCTGGACAGGGATGATAGGTCAGCTGATACGAAGGGTGTGTAGAATTTGGTGTGACATCTACTAACACATTTTACTTGATAATTGGTAAAGTGGTATTTAGTAAATAGTAAGGATTGGTTTAACTCGTGATAACGGTGTGTTAATATTTTACTCAAATAATCCAAGAGGTGTAAAAGAGTATGATCGTAAACTTAAACAGAGATTTAAAAAACAAACATTTTATGACTATTGGCACAATGTACTAAATTTGATAATTCATTTCATAATTTTACTAATCACTTAGCTATGACACCAAAAATACATTAACTAGTGGAACAGTTGCGTCACAATTTCAAAGGAATTTAAGTGATAGTTTCTCATAACATAGTGAAGCACTGTAGGAATACACTTGTTATATCCAATTTTATTGTGATTCAGAATACACTTGTTACATCCAATTGTATTGTGATTCAGATAATTGTGTAATTTAAAAAAAATTTTGAAAGTCCAGGAGTAAAAAAAAAAAGATTATGAGGATACTAATCTGTAACTCTATGCAGACAGCCGATATAGCCATTGGCCCGCTGACTATCACATCAACACGGGAGAGGGCTTTAGATTTCTCCACACCTTTCATGAACACGGGCATTTCCGTCATCATGGCCAAACCACAGAAACAAAAGGCAAACTTGTTTACGTTTATGGAGCCTTTCTCCCTGTCCCTGTGGATCAGCATCCTGCTGGCTTACATTGTGGTCAGCATTTCAATTTTCATTGTGTGCAAGTAAGTTATGTGAACCAAACACCTTTAATAATGATTAACTCTAACCTGATTTATGTAATCTACAAGTGTGGAATTGAGCCTTCCATACCTGTCAAGAAATATTAGTAATTATAGATGTTTTAATACAGAAAAAAATAGTTTGTTTTAAAAATGACATTAGTGATTAGAATTTAAACAAAAATGTTTTCAGATCTAACCCAACTGAACCCATCCAGGATAATTATCCAGAGGAAATGGAGAATGTGTGCCGATCAAAAATAACATTGTCCAATTCATTTTGGTTTGCTATTGGAGCTTTGATGTCACAAGGGAGCGATGTCATTTTAAGGTAGCTGAAATTTCCTTGAGTTTTTATGTATTTGAGCTTCAATGATATTAATCATATATTTGTTATTTCACTTTTCAAGCTTTTCCAGATGTTTCAAGAAAAACTTCCTGAAGTTTTTTGGAAAAAGAAATATAGGCCTATTTTAATTTTATTTTCAAAATGTTTTCATATTTTCTGTGAGTAAAATCTCCAAGAATTAAAAAAAAATTTGTTTATATCATTGTCTTTAAAAATGTAATTTACATTGTCTAAGCGACTAGACTATTCAGTATAATGTGATTGAAAAGGCTATTCTTAAAACAAGATTCATTATAAATAAAATTCATGTTCTTAAAGAGCAAAATTAAAAAGAAAGAACTTAAATATTCTTTTAATTTCTTCAAACACCTACTATTATTTATAAAATAAGCTTCAATTGCAACAAAAGATTTTTAAAAAATTGCTTACTTACTTGACCTTTTTAAAATTATGTATGTTTTCTAAAGCTTCACTTGCGTGAAATTATGTTTTATTTTTTTTTCAGAACCCCAGCTAGCCGACTGATTGGAGGAGTTTGGTGGTTTTTCGTTCTGATAATCCTCTCATCATACACGGCCAACTTGGCCGCCTTCCTGACAGTGGAGAGAATCGTTCAGCCCATCACCTCGGTGGATGACCTCCTCCAGCACAGCGAAATTTCCTGTGGCATGTTAGAAACTGGATCGACCAGGGAGTACTTTGAGGTAACAGAGTTTTGTTACAGTTTCATGCAAAAAAATAAATAAACGAAAACAGCTTTTATGTGCCATCCTTAATATTTCACGTTTCTTCTAGTCCAGTTTGCAGTAAAAAAAATAGATTGAAGTGTTAAGCTTTCCCTGTCATCCACAACATTATTACAAAAAGGATTTAGTGTTGGCCTGTAGGTCTCCATTTACATTTCTTAAATTTCAATTCCATTATGCATTTTTAAATATTTTGAACAATTTATCAAAACGTCACTTAAATTTTCAAATTTGATATCTGTTTTTTACATGAGAGGGTCAAAAGTCCAACACCTTGTGTATAAGTATCACAAGGGGAAGGTTTATATTTTTTTTCAAATGATTCAAATGGTCAGAGGCTCAAAATCACCACACCAGTTACCCTCCCAAATATTAGAAATTATACTGGCTAACCTAAAAAATTATTGACACTGAACAAAAATAAAATAATAGTGCGAAGTGCAATAACTGGCACATGTTGCATAAATACATCAATAAATATGGCTTTAAATTCTTTACCACACATATAAATAAATATAATTTTCTCTATTAAAATTTCAGACATCAAACATCAGCACCTTTCGTAAGCTGTGGGCTTCCATATCAGACTCTTACCAGAAAGTCATGGTCAAATCTATAGAGGAAGGTGTGCAGCGGGTACAGGTAGGCCCTATTTACTACAAGTTTATAATAGTGTTGAGCCTAGTATGTTAAAACTTAATTTCATTGTCTGACTTTCCCAGTGGCAGATCCTAGCAACAAGGCAGAGCCTTGTATTTGTTTTTGAAAGTTACATGTGAAGTGCATTTAAAATATAATCATATTTAAAGATATTACTTTTCAACACCCCCCCCCCCATACACACACATAAACACTTTGAGATAATATGAATTCCTAGGGCACACCTTTTGAAACTGATGATTTAGGACAACCCAGCTCCTTGAAAATTGTCAATGTTGTTTACAAGAAATGGATTGTGGGAGATTTTTCTTCACATTTGTTTTATTTGAATCCTAGTTAAATTGAATTAAAATTTCATCCAACGCCTTATTTTCTACAGACTTCATAACCAAATCAGTAATATAAATAAGAGTGTATGCCCTTTACAGAGCTCGGGGGGAAAGTATGCCTTCATCCTTGAATCTTCCATGAGTGAGTACTACAGCACCAAGATGCCATGCAACACTGTGGTTGTGGGATCTAAGTTTTACACTAAAGGATTTGGCGTGGCTACATACCAGAATGCCAAGTTGATGTAAGATTCTTGGAGATCACAGTAACTTGGGTCAAAGAATAATAGAGGGTTCAAAGGCATGAGTACATTATGCTCAGATCAATGATTTTCAAATATTTGGTCACAATATAAAAGTGACAAAGTCTAATTCGAACAAGGTATTTGTTGCAAGTTAACCAAAAAACTTCTGGAAATAATATAATACAATTATAAATATAATCTATTATATTTCCCTTGACTGATACTCAACACTGAAACCTTTTGGTTGTTTTATTTTTATATCACGTTATGGTGTGTTGAAGATTTTTTAATAATTCGTTCTTGTGTGTGTATATGAAAAAGTTTGAAAAAGACAGGGTTAGATCTCCATTGTTTTTATATGATAAGCCAATACTCTCTAAACTGTAAGATGACTGTGGTACAAGTTTGTTTAAAAATAAAAAATGTCCAAAATTATATATTGGGGCAATATTCATCACCTACAAATAACAAATAGTTTGAAGACTTATTCTGGTCAATAGAGCATGATTTTTTGAGAGAGTCTTGACAATGAATAGCTTTCATCGAATACTATGCTTGAAAAGTTTATAAAATAAAATAATAGTGTTAAAAATAAATGTGACCCATCTAACAAAAGACTTTTTTTTTTTTTTTTTTTACACATAACAGGCAGGATATAAACTATGTGATACTCAAGCTAAAAGAGGATGGAAGGCTACACAAGCTGAAACAAATTTGGTGGGATGAAAAAAATGAGTGTGGCTCAATTCTAGAGAACAAGGTAGACTATTACATTATAATCTTAATATTATTGTAATGCTTCGATTTGGACTTCGGTCATATTGTCATATTGTACAAGTGCTTTTTTCATTTGGTTATTTTTGCATTAATTATCTTACTTTTGCATAAATAAATAATTCTAAATAATTTTAATATGTTCATGTTGTCAGGAAAATTCAAATTAAGAGTAGGGGGGCATGAATTATATAAATTTTTCTCTGCCTTGTGAAAGAAAACGATATAATTGCCTATTCTGATTCTTTTTCGTATTGGTTGCAATTGCATAGGTTAAGTGGACTTAAACCCGATTGATTTGAGCTGCCCGCATAAATTTATTAATATTTACAATTTCTAATGTGTGTGCGTACACACCCTTTCCTTCTGCAGGATTCAAGGAAGCATTCCTTAGAGATGAGCAGTGTTTTAGGCATATTTCTTGTGCTTATTGCTGGACTAATGGTTGCTATAGTTATTAGAGTTGTCAGTGCCTTTTCAAAAAAGCACTGTCTGTAAAAGGTTAAGATGCCCAATATGCTATGAAATATGTCATGAAAATTTTTGATTCATTTAAAACACTTCGGCGATAAAGTCAACTTCTTCTCTGAATAAATAATATTTATTCGATATTTTGTGTAAAAAAAACAAACTTTTAAGTTGTTGTTGAATCCAATTGTTAAAAGAGTATGTTCAAGTTGTTGTTGAATCCAATTGTTAAAAAGAGTATGTTAATGTGAAAGTATAAGATATAAAATGAAAAAAGTATGAGAAATAATTCAGTTGTTGAAAATGATTTTATTTACTAAAAAAAAAATTAATAAACCAATTTTTTTTTAAAAATGACTAAACAAATATTAATGAAAGATTAAAACATTCTAATAGATCAAAACAGACAAAAACTTTCTAAAATGTTGTAGATGATTTCTAGAATAATAAAATACAGAAGAGAAAGCCAAAATTGTTTTTATAAAAAACATAAATTTTTACATAATAATAGATTTCAGATAATTGGGGAAATAACATGGTCAACATCACACTATTTTTTAAAATTTATAAAGACTTACATTCTCTGAGATCAATTAATCAAACTTGTCTGGTTCAGGAAAATTACAAATATGATAAAGCAGGGGGGGAAGAAAGGGATATATTATAGCTATAGTTAACTTTGCTTAAATTTAATTTAGTTGACAAGAGATGCCTAAATGAACTGTTATAATAATTCAATTTGTGGAGAAGATTATGTTAAGTCTTTTGCTCTGGTTTACATGTATCCAACATAAAAATAATCTCTTGTAGTAGCGAAAAAATTCCAAGTCTGTGATATAATACATTGGTGAAGCTGGATAAGGCTGGATATGACTGAGAAGGTAATGTTTTATGCCAGAGGTTCTCAATGATATGGAATAATTTACCACCTTAAATTGCCGTAAAATGCATGTCAACATCATCAGATTTCCTTTTTTATTAAATGGATGTTTATTATGCTTTTATTTTTTTTTTAATTTGCACAATTGGTTGTCCATATTCCACATTTTGAGCAATTCTGATATAAGGATTTAAGTGCTCTTCTCAGATAAATTCAATGAGCTTAATGGATTGAGGATGCTTTGGTACAGTCTAACATAATTTCAATGAGCTTAATGACTGGGATGCTAGAGGATGCTGTGGTACAGTTAAATTTCTTAAGTTTGAAATTCAATTTGCACTTTATTCATTTCTTTTATAATGCTGAATGTGGTTTTGATATGCAATGGTTGATATGTTTTTTACATTTGTTTAAAATAAAACCATTATTCAGCCATTAACATCATTCTTTCATTTAAACTCATTTCCAAGAGAGTAACTTGAAAACTTCTTTTGGCATGAAGAATTATTTGTGAAAATTCATAACAAAGTAGTTAAATAATTTTGTTTGTGAATATATACATCATAACTTAAATGACACCAAAAGATTTACATGTAACAGTCTCCTTTAACAAATTTATGAAAATTGAATAATTCACTTATTTAAAAAAAAATATATGTATGATTGTTTGTTATAACAAGAAACATTTGATTTAATTAGCACAATTTAAAATAAAAATAATTTTACAAGAAGATAGAAATATATCTATTAGGCCCATTTTTAAAAATTATATCTAATTTAGACTTCTGTCATTCTACATTATGTAGAAAACTTAAATAAGGATACAATTTTTTAGGGGTCTTAAAATTTAAATATGTTATACAAATTTTTTTTTCTGACTACGTAAAAAATGTTGCTACAAATGTAATGCAATTTTCTAAGATGAAATGAGGAGAAAATTACAAAAATAATTCACTCAGCAGGACACATTGACAGAACAACTATAACCATAAAAATGTATGGATGAAGGAAGAAAGACAACTTCATCTGCAATGAATAATAACGGATAATACATTGGCCAGATTACTAGAAATGAAAAGGTAATAACTATACTATGATAAATGCACATGTCTGAATATTTCAGTCAACTGCCTTGTTTAAGAAACAGTTGTATAGTTTATATCTTTCCTTAACTTATGTCTATGCCAAAATGTTCTAATTGCGCATTCTACCGATATACCTGTAAATTTTTAAATGGGATGCAAACTGACTAAATATTAAGGCTAAAAATTTAGGCCAAAAATATAGTTTAAAAATTAATTACAGCATTCATTTAAAAGATAATTATTGGTGATGATGAGTCAACGTGAGGAAATCTGGTTGGGTCAATTCCACGATCGATCTAACCCCATTCCCCCTTAAATATATGACTCCATCCAATGACCTTCAAAGGAACCTTGAAGGAACAGAAAGGAGAGAGATGTGTCTTGAGAAATAAATGTTATAAGCCCATAATGTGCAGTGTTGGTGGATTAAGATCAGATTGAAATAAATGTTATAAGCCCATGATGTGCAGTGTTGGTGGATTAAGATCAGATTGAAATAAATGTTATAAGCCCATGATGTGCAGTGTTGGTGGATTAAGATCAGATGTTCAAAAAAAAAAAAAATGATTTTGAATTATTTAAAAAATATTGTTAAGGTAAAGTGGGTTTGACTTCCATGATTTGATTCTATGTTTCTTGTTATTTTGCTATTTATTTCCAGGCTCTAGTAACGCTGAATTTCAGTATATTTTCATGAACAATCCAAAATATCTATTTTGATTTACAATATATGCAAGCAATTGAATCTTATTCTTATGTATCTTTCATTAAAACAACACTCTTGCATGAGAAACAATATAGGCCTTTCATTTTTTAAGTATTTGTTATTCTCATTTATGGATTTAATTCAAACATTTGCATATCTGAAAAATGTTAACTTTTACACACATTGCAAACTTTTAACTAGTTATGTAACTTGATAAAGCTTTTACAAACATTTTGAACAAATAGTTGTATTAAACTTAAGATTTGTACAATATAAACATTCTTTTTTGCTTCGTTGATGTATTTACAAATTGGATCTCAACAATGAATGAGGCACATCCCTTGTTGAGTTAAAAAAATTCCAGGACTTCAATTTTATTTAAAGTTGGATGCAAATATAATAGTCTCAGATTTGGATAAAACATAAGCTAATGGTAAAACATTTGTAATTGTAAGCTCATTAATGGATAGATAATAAACTATTATAAACAAATCTGAAGGTAAATTTCCAGTTGAATAACATTTAATTTAGATCAACTACGGATTTTTTTAGAGTTGTTTTTTTCTTTTTCTGAACTTTTTGAGATAGAAGAAAAAATTCTTTAGAATTGAGAAGAAGGAGTAAATAATTCTAAAGTTAGACCACTTACAAAAGTGGTAAGTATGCCTACACTAAATGAAAAAATATTTCTAAAATTTTGATGCCCTAAAAAAACCCATAAATTTTAAGGGGAAATCACTCCTATCAATACTATAGTTGGCCTTTTTAAAAATCCAACCTCATCTCCATAAGAGAAATACTATATATTAATGCAAACTTTAGAGCCTTTTACAATTGTTTTTTTTTTTTTCCAATTTTAAATATTGGGTCTATTTTTCAATGTTTAGACCATGGCATCGTTGTTGAAGTTTTCAAGCTACAATATGTTGTGTTTTTTACATTAGCCCTACGGGGCCGTCCATAAAGTATGTCACGCTCCAGAGGGGGGAGGGGATGTAAGAAAGTGTGACAGTTTGTGACAGGGGGCAGGGGGGTCAGGCCATGTGTGATGTCACACATTTATTTTTTAAAACTTCATTTCTAATTTATTATTTATTTTTTTAGTAGAATTGAATAGCTTTAAAAATAATTTAAAAAATTTTTGTGAAACATTCGAATTAATTTTAAGTTAAAATAGCACAAAATGCGTATCTCCTGAATGTGTTGTTCGCGATTCCTCTGGCTAGGAGCGCTAGTATGTTGTTGCGAAGCCTTGTTTTATGTATAGCCTTGCTTTCGTCATGCCTGAAGTATTATTATTTCTATGTTGTCTGCTGCATAATTATGTCACTGTCCTTTTTATTATTTAATCACTGGGTGAGGTCAAGTTTCACTAATCTACTTCTAATCCTGTGTAAAAAGATTGCATAATGGGAAGATTATCTAAAACTTGACCTCACTTTTGTAAATGAAAAAGCAGCAGAAAAATGATGTGTATTATATAATTGTCTTGTCTAATTTTTGAAATTTTTGTTTTCAAATTCAATCTAAATTGAGTTACTGCTTCAATGAATAACTGTGACAACTGTTGACAATTAACTATTCTACTATTAAAGTAATTTTAATAATGTGACAGTTCTTTTAATTGTAAATTTTATATTTTAATACTGTTTAATAGTGAAGTGTGTTTTAGATTAAATTTTAATTATGGTAGGTGTTAATTTTTTTAAAACTTTGTTCGAAAGTGTGATGTACTTGGGGGGGGGGGGTACGAGATTTGTGACAGTTTGTGACATGGGGGAGAAGGGGAGTTAAAAATGGTAAAAAATAGCGTGACGTACTTTATGGACGGCCCCTAACAGAAAATAGTCAAACAAATTATTATTGCATTCCCCTTGTAGCTTTTCTTCTTGCAGTTTTGAATATAATCCTGCTGTCATTTTCAAGGGATAAAGATCTCTCAAGATGTGATAGGATGATTATCCTCAGAAAGTTCTATGTCCCATTATGGTATTCATCAGGATCTTCTGACATCAAGTTTTGCTGCTCATGGGCCGCTGCTGCTGCTGCATCTGAGCTCTGTTGGTGTTTTATTACACTTTATGAAATTCCCACAAAATCAACTGTATTAACTATAAACATTATTACTATCAGTATTACTCTTTTTCAATGTAACATGTTCAATTGAACAAACAATGATAATAAAGATTTTCATATAGCTTTTAAATTCAACATTTACTCATTACTATCAAGATTGCACACTTTTGCATAAGTTATTTAATGCATTATTTTATTATCATTTTTGCCATCTCTATTCTGCAAAGAACTATTTAAACACACATAAATAAACTTATTAAATATCACATATTTTAATTTGTACTATTATAAGAGATAATGTTAACTCAATATGGATAGCAATCCTTCACTAATGATTGCTATATTATGAATATTTTTAAATGTCTGTTAAAAAATTTAAAAGACCTACCATCCCATTTTCCCATACTGGTTCAATACCATTTGATCTATTTGCCGCAGAGCCAAAACATAACCTCCGAGGAGGGGGAGGAGGAACAGGGAGTGTGTAGTTTTTTGTTGCCTGAAATAACACCATTAATTAATGGGACCATGACCTGCGTCTTTCAAATCCCAGCTGACAAAAAATTTGTTGAGAGCAATTACGTTTTAATTCTGTCTACTATTTCTAAAAAATGTAAATAACTTTCAGAAACAGTGATTTTTCTTAAAATTTAATCAAATTTAATGGAGGTCTATTGAAAGTTATTCAGCCTTAGAACCATCAGTTAACAATACATTTTTAAGTTGCAGAAAAATGACAGGCTATGCAATTTCCTATATTTAATTTATTTTATTTAAAATACATTTTAAAATATTTGGATTTTTAAAAAAAAAAAGCATTTAAAGTTAAGCTGGAGTTACTTAAATAAAACCTCACTAAAATGGGATCTGAGCTATCATACAGAATAACTTACTGCACAATTTGATTTCACTGTACATTAACCTGATGGTAATAATAATTAACTATTTAAGAATGCCAATTTAATTATTTTAAATAATTAAAGCACCCAAAAGTATTTATCTACATTTTTGGATTCAAGTTAAATAATTTCCAAGTGATTTTTTTTTTTTTTAAATATCCTGGATGCTGAAAAGCCCTAAATCAAAACATTAATTATTATCCCAAAGATTTAATAAGTTACAATGACAATGTTCATTAATTTTAAATGTCAAATAATATTTAAATTTAAAAAAAACAACTTAGTTAAACAATAATTTTTTCCAACATTTTTTTCAGACAAAAATTTAAGTACAGTTACTTACTTTCTTTGCTATATTTTTTCTTCTTATTCTCAACTTCCTCTGTATTAAATATTCCAGTGATGATGTCAACATGGACAACACCAAACCGCCTATAAGTATATGGAATATACCGGAGACATTGCTTAGTGTTAGTGCACTCTGTGTACCCGTAGACTCCTGTGGAAGTCACACACATATCACTAGATTATTACTCACATATCACTATATTATTACTCACATATCACTAGATTATCACACACGTATCACTAGATTATTACACCAAAGAGTACATTATAGCTTATAAACTTTTCAGTTAAGCTGCTTTGTTTAAAGATAGAAATATTTATGATTTTTAAAAAAAAAAAATGTATTTTAAAGCCTTAAAATTATATAGCTATATTCATTCTAAATTATCATGTCATTTTGGCTAATGAATAGAAGTAGATTATTTATCCAAAGTACCTTACAGTTTAGACATCAGGATGTTAAGTATAGTTCTATCTACCTACCTTACTAACACTTTGGTCCCCACATTGCCCTTTATCAAACCACCATTTCTGGGTCAGTTTTATCAATTCTCCCTTCTCCTTTAATGTCAGCACAGCAATATTGATGTTATGTCTAAAAGAAAACATATTTGGTCTCCAAAGCGTTTTATAAGATGACAATTTAAAAAAAAGTTATATTCTCTTATTAGAAATTTCCAGTTTTTATGAATAATAAATAATCACTTTAAATACTTAACTCTAAATATTTTTTATTCAAATGTTTACTTTTATCCATATATATATATAAACTTATTTTTTTGTGAAACAGCATGGTTGGCCACTTAAAAAACAGTATTTTAAATTAAAATATAACACAATATGAAAAATTGAAAAGAAAAAAAAAAAAAAAAGCATACATTTTTTTTAAAAAGATGAATGTTTCTAGACTTAAAGTAAATTAAGACCCACATTGAAATGCCAAGTTTAGACACTATGAATGAATCCATATATATATATAAACTTATTTTTTTGTGAAACAGCATGGTTGGCCACTTAAAAAACAGTATTTTAAATTAAAATATAACAAAATATGAAAAATTGAAAAGAAAAAAAAAAAAAAAAAAGCATACATTTTTTTTAAAAAGATGAATGTTTCTAGACTTAAAGTAAATTAAGACCCACATTGAAATGCCAAGTTTAGACACTATGAATGAAGTGCTTCATATTTTGTTCTTTAGTTTAGATACTATGATACTATGAATGAAGTGCTTCATATTTTGTTCTTTAGTTTAGATACTATGATACTATGAATGAAGTGCTTCATATTTTGTTATTTAGTTTAGATACTATGATACTATGAATGAAGTGCTTCAAATTTTGTTCTTTAGTTTAGATACTATGATACTATGAATGAAGTGCTTCATATTTTGTTCTTTATAAGTCTTGCAGTTTATATGAGGGGGCTCTTTTTGAAAGTTTCAAAAATTTAAGTTATAAGTTTAAAAGGCGTAAATTATTTATTAATGTAGTCATACTGAGAATCACATATGGAAGCCTATGATAGTAAGAGCCAGCTTTGTCGAAGATCGCTAGCATTTTGAAATAATAAAAGTATTAAAAGCTCAATGTTTCGGTTCCAAAATATATAGTTTCATAATAATTGTTATAAGATACAGTGGGGGGGGGGGTGTGGTGGTTACAAAAAGTGCTGAAGTCTGTGGGCACCCAAGACAACTTGCCATCAGCTCCTATGTGGCCAAACAATATTACATTGATAATTTTCATTAATTTGTGTAGGCTTTCAGAGTTTTTAATAAAGAAAGGGATATAATCCAAATATTTTAAGGGAGACTGATCTAGGTACTCGTACTTAAAAAAAATAATTTTTGGAGAAGCCATCAATTTCAATACATTTTAAATATTTAATTAATAACTTAAAAACAGAAATTATAAGGCACCAATTACACATACCTCAGTGGATAATTAACATAAGTGGCCACACCATAACCTTTGTTGTCTAACTTGTCACCAACCATCATGGTATCACAGGGTTCTTGCTGACTGTAGTAACTATTCATTGCAGACTCCAAGAGGAAGGCATACGTACCTTTAGATTCTCGCACCTGGAGTAAGACATTAATGTAATCTCTTGATACCACATTAATCCACAATGGTTTTTTTTTTTTTTTAAATAATTATTTCCTTACAATATACAAAAACAGTAAATATTAAGATGCTAGATCCCTTTTTGATATCCAAACTTTGTAATAAATAATACATTTATTTTCATGCATTCAAATGACTTGCAGCATTATTGTCTTAATCACTAAATGGTTATTATCACATTTAAAAAAAATACTTATACAGGAGCCAGAGTGATCAATACATTGATCGTGGGCCCTTAATATATAGAAGAAATGACTGTAAACAGTTTTTTCAAAGTTTAGAATCGGTTATTAAACATCATTCTTATATCCACTGATAAATCAGTTCATGTTGTATCATTTAAGCAAAATTATAATCTAAATAACATGGCTGTGAATTTTACATAGAGTTCTTATACTTGAATTTACAAATTCATACCTTTCTTACTCCCTCACTGTAGTCCTCAAACAGGACCTCATCTGCGTTCTCCAACATTTCTTTCCTCATCCTAACAAATGTGTCCACTGTGGATTTCTGTTAGATAAACTTATTTATGATAAAACTCCTCAGGTTTATAAGAATTTTCTTTTTGAAAACACCACCAGACCTGTTTACGCTTACGATTTTGGCGCACAATGTGCGATTTTGAGGTGTATAGGCATACAGTATAAATTATATATACTCTATGTTTGTTTTTTACCATTAAGATAATGTATTGAACAATTTTGTTATGATATTGTACCATTTTAAGAGTAAACAGGTCTGCACCACTCATTAGCGAGTTATAGGATTGAAAAAAATTTTACTTTTTTTTTTTATTACATTGAGGACATTTTATATCTTTATTTACTACCAATCTCGTGCCTTTCATGCCAACATTTAATGGAAAACAAATTGAGTTAAAGAAATATTAAATTATTGAATACTAAACTACCTAATGACTATCAGTGAGAGTTCATGCTCTTTGAATATAAGCTTATTTCTTTTTAGTGAACATGACATTAGTTTTTAAATCCTTTATATTAACTTCACTTTTGTTTGTGGCCGGATGGCAAAATATTCGGACGGCTAATTGACCCTTGTCAAGCTATCAAACTGAAACATAGACTCATTGCTGATGACAACACTTTCTATCGAATTTTCAGTCCCACCCTTTAAACCCAACCCCTAAAAATAGTTCTTCCTGTTTTCCAAGGAGGATGATAAAATAATATTCCAGATAAAACTGCTCTAAATTAGGTTCTTTAAAAAAATGTATCAAGTGCATTTGGTGTATAATTTTTTTTCTGAAATTGTTATGGAAATAAATCTGCTGTATAAAAGCAGGTGGGAACCATAATGTTAATATAGTTCAGAGGTGTGAAAAAAAATGTGCGGTTGCAAGCCTTGGTGAGGGGGGGGGGGGGCGCACTAATTGGGTTTCTTATAAAATGGGTTACTTGGATGCAATGTTTTGTCAAATTTATTTGTCTGTTTAAATTTGATTTTTCCCTTCAGAAAATGTAGCTTTTGGAACTGACTTCAAAAAAAAGGCTTGGGGGGGGGGGGGGGGGGCGCACTAATTGGGATTCTTATAAAATGAGTTACTTGGATGCAATGTTTTGTCAAATTTAATTGTCTGTTTAAAATTGCTTGTTACCTTCAGAAAATGTAGCTTTTGGAACTGACCTCAAAAAATCTCCAAGATGAACCTGTCTTTTTTGTGCCATACTTGATCGTTGGATGCCCAACCAGGTCGTCTGCTGAACTTATAGAGACCACCAGTTTTTCAATGGTCAGAAAGGCTGCCAGGTTAGCAGTGTAAGAGGAGATAATAATTAAAGTAAAAAACCACCAGGCAGAACCAATCACTCGTCCTGAGAAAGACCTATGGAAAATAAATTTATTTATTGTGTGATATTGCAAAAAATATCACATATTAAAAGATAAAATGGTTTAGCAAAGTACCGGTACTAATTTAAGTTTATCTCCAATTTAAAATACATTTTATTGGAATCAAAAAAAATTATCTGAGCCTTAGTGGGGAAAATGGATAATTAAAAATCAGTTTAAATAATTTAAATTTGCATTTTCCATAAAAGTAATAAAATATTTTAATAGATTAAAAGAATAATAATTTTTATTCTTTTAAAAAATCAGTTTCAGCTAAAAAAATTTAGACAGCAGGGCCTACCAGATGAATACATAGTTAATGCTCCAGAATAAGATTAGACATTCTTAAAACTATTTTAATAGACAAACACGCATCTGTACATAATTATTTTAAGTAAAAAAATAGAAATTCAAAGCTGCATCCAGGAACTGTTATATTCCCAAGATTGTTAACTATTTAATTGATGTGGTTTTGTAGAGACCCGAAAATAGATCCTACTTTTCTGAGACACATAATACTGAATCCAAACATATACGTCAGATGAATATTAAAATAAGTTTGAATGTGATCATATTAAGGTATAGGCAGAAAAAATTTAAATCCAAGATTTTCTTGGTTAAGATTTCTGGCAGTCTCATAAAAAAAACTGATGGCAAACATCAAATCTATTTCACAACATTGAAATTCTGCACATCTACAGTTATTAACATTCTCAATTGATTAAGGTATTAAACTTGAAAATGGCTGATTAAATCATTAAAAAAAAAAAAATTGAGGTGATTCTATTTTTCTGATTTACTCAGAATCACACCCACCCCCCCAGCACAAACCTTATTTTAGTTTTAAAATGTTTTTTATCTTTTCCTCTGACAGCCTTTTGAAAAAAAAACAATTACCAATTAAAATTCTAATATAATTATATTTTGGCTAACTATTTAGTTTTTATATATATGATTATAAACTATACAAAATGTTTAATAAGTTTTCAATGGTTTCAGTACAGTGTGTCCAGTAGGTTTTGCGACATGGCTTTGACCCTACTTGTTTTTTTAATACAAGAACTGAATATTTAAAAATAAATTTTTGCAAGTCAAATAAATAAGTTAAGACCAAATAACTGATAGTGGAATATGACCAGTGCCATTCCTGCAAATAGCCTAATGTTGTTGAAATCTTTAAAAAGTAGAGACTGTTTATTTATTGAAATAGAGCAATACACTATCAATTTCTCAACCTGAGTATTGCTTTAGTTTGATCCTCAAATTATTCTCATTAAGATAGTATTTACATTTTTAAAAATTATTAGCTTTGAGTTCTAGTCATTATAAACAAGGAAGGTCATTTGATTTCGCTTGGCTGTGGGCCCAACCTAGGGGATATATCAGAGCCCTGCTGCATTAGAGCACCCAGTGAGAACCACAGAGTGTTGGAGATTGAGAAGACTGTTGTAGCTGTCCTTTCTGTAGAGTCTTCAGATACATTCCACTCATAGGGGCTGAAAAATAATTTCAACAAAAGCCTATTATAATTTAACCAGGTTACTTAAATATTGTTCTTATCATTATTACACTATCAATAAATCATCTTGCATCTTGCAAACATTTTTTAACTTAAAAAAAAAAAACACCATAAAATAATGTGCCATATTCTCTGTGATGTAGTGTTGTCTTTTTCTTTTTAATGAACAAGATTAAATTCTACTAAAATACTAAAAATTAATACAGGACATTACTCTGAGTTGGTGCCCCTTATAATACCCATGATTGAATTAACATTACCTAAACTGAGATTGCAATGTTGTTATCTCAAATAAGACATATTTAGTCAACACTTTGTCAAAAAAACAACTCATAGATAATTCTGACAGAACCAACATTAAGGATATGATTAAACAATATATATTAAGGTGTGGAAAAAAAAAAGGAAAATAAATTAAATTACGCACGCTAATTAAGAAGTCTTTTGCGTTCCAATATGTAAAGAAGTTTATCTAAGATAAACACATCTAATTTTGTCTTAATTTGTCCACAAAAAAACAACAACAACAAAGGAATAAATGTGGCAAGGTGCCGCTGAATAGTAATCAGTTAACACACGCTCTGTGTGTCACTTTGATAGATGTTGGTAAAACCCAGGCTATACTGTATACTGCAACCGCAACTAAAAGTAGCACAACGCTGTTGTGTGCTTGGCCCTAAACCTCTTGTCTGGCGATTGACCATCCTATGACAAACACGTGACCCCCCCCCCCTCTCTTTCTCTCTGCTAGCCTGATGCCTGAAAAAATATTAAGACCTTATTGTTCCAATGTGTGTCATATGTCAAGTAGGTCTTGGCCCATTCATTTTTAAATGATATAGCCTACTGGCAGGGAGCAAATTTAACCCTTTGTCATTTCACTGTTGGTATCTGGTTGTTCTGTAAGTAGCTAATGTGATGTTTTTTTAAACATTGTGTTTTTTGTAGAACTAATTATAAGAGTGTTGGACTGTGATAGAGCTTTAAAGTAGATTAATTAGACAGAAACATTTTGTGTCAATAAAACAATGGATGTTCAGCTTTAATGATGATTTTACAGAATGTTTTTGTTTTTTTGTACTGATGAAGGCATTAGCTGAAACCTTTCCATTTGCATTTTGTACCCTTTAACAATGATATCGCCATAGTTAAAAATACTACTGAAATAGCATGTGCACCAGAATCAAATTAGCAAATATACTTTATGGTGCTAGAGTTAAACGTAATGTCATGCATTTAAGTCTTACAAAGACCTGGTGCACGCTTGTATAATCCTAACAGTCATAACATTGAAGTAAATATACTGCCATGTGGCTAAGTCTGGCATAGTCCCATGTGTGAGCCATTATAATTGTAACAGCCAAGTATCTAGAATTGTAGGTTAACTCAGTTACCCAGAACCTAAGGGTTTCCATGCCTAAAAATAGGTATGGGATAAGTGCGAACATATATATATTTATATTGTACTGGACACCCTTCGCATCTCACATAGATTCAGAGCGTAAAACTGTGTACTTCTCATATAACTAAGTAGGTTATTAGATCCTAAACTAATATATTTGCATCTTTTCAGATATTGTCCTTTTTCTTCCCCATATTTTTCTTGGTCTTTTTTCTTGTTTTCTATTTCTGGTTACCATACTCTCAGAACCAAATAAATAGCTATAGTTCTCAAGACCTGATTTCCTTGGATTTGAGTATTAAATCACACACTTATATATGTATATATATAAATAAAATATACATACACATTGGCAAACAATTACTAACTAAACAATGTACAAAAATTACGCACCTGAACCGGCCAACAAAGTAGAGAACACCACTGACGGCAAGAAATCCAATAGCTATACATAGCCAGACTCGTGTGTCCAGCGGGTCCATGAAGGAAAAGACTCCAGGCTTGGTTTTGTCGGGTTTTTTAATCATTATTGAGATCCCTGTGTCCATGAATGGCTTGGAGAAGTCGACCACTCTCTCCCTGTCCTGAGTAATGGTCAGCGGCGCCACAGCTATGTCTCTTTCCTAAAGGTCCATACAACATATATAATTCTTAAGGTCCATAAAACATATATAATTCTACAGGTCCATACAACATACATAATTCTAAAGGTTCATACAACATATATAATTCTGAAGGTCCTACAACATATATAATTCTAAAGGTCCATACAACATATAGAATTCTAAATGTGCATACAATATACATAATTCTAAAGGTCCATACAACATACATAATTCTAAAGGTCCATACAACATACATAATTCTAAAGGTCCATACAACATACATAATTCTAAAGGTCCATACAACATACATAATTCTAAAGGTCCATACAACATACATAATTCTAAAGGTCCATACAACATCCATAATTCTATAGGTACATACAATATACATAATTCTTTTCAGCAATTGTATATGAGATTATAAGAGTTTAATTCCTTGAAAAGAAATTTTTATGAGATAAATATTTAACTATTGGAATATAAGATTGAGAATGTCATTTTTACTGTGGTTTCGGCATTTTTCTTTTCGCGTTTTAACTGAATTTTATATTTTTTTTAAAAATATTTTTTAAAAATATTTTTAAAAAAGAAGAAAAAGCACTGAAAATCTATTGAAAGTAATATTTACCTGGTTTATCAACTGGCCTATGATCCCATTCCAAGTGCCATCAGTCTCATTCTTGTCTCCATACTCTTCAGTCAGGTAAATCTGGTATTCAAAGTCTTCACTGCGGGCCAGCGCCTCTATCAAGTCAATGCAGTAACCCTCAAGGTCCAAGTTGGGGCCGACGGGCGGTGCTCCATTCCTGTTTTCTATTCTCATCACAAATGGTGGCTCCTGGCAGGAATATTGTATGTGACTTTATGCGAGCAACGCAAGAACTGATAGAACGTTCAAAAACAATAAATATAAAAAAGAATCAGGGAGATCAAAATAGCTGCTCCGTTTTGTTTTAAAATGTGAGATCGTGGATCTACAGTATTCAAATAAATTGGAAAGAAAAACTATGATTTTAGTCATTATTTGTAACTTGATGTCCTGCCGCGAATGGTTTAATTTTCTCCCTTTGTTTTAATATTTGAGGAAGAACTTTTTCTTACGATTATTATTGTGAACCAAATTTCGGTTTCCATCATAAACTTAGTCTTAGACAAACAATAATTGGTAAACTGGGAAACCTAATGAAATTATAGTAAACTTTAATCGATTTTTAAAAAAATACTAAATCCCTAACCTGGATTGCTTCTAGAATCCAAAATGGATAAAGCCTATTAGGTGTAACAACTTATTATTATGATTTCTTACTATTAGAGTTGTAACTCGCTGTGTCGTGTTTTGTATGGCAACCTCGGGGACGAATGTTTTAAATGAACCGTCCATCAGGTCAGAGGACTTCCAAGTTGCTTGCTGTTTAAAAAGTAAAGTTTATTCACCTTCAAATTTGTGAAAGAATTATTAAGATTAGAGCTGCATGTGTCACCACAAGGCATTCTCTCAAAATTGGAATTTTTAAAAAATTAATTATTTCCTTATATGTATCCTTTTTGTAGTCTTGGTGTTGAAACACAAGAAAAAAATCTTTCCAAGCTTAACTAAGTCAGGATTATCAGGACATCAAATATTGTTTCGCGTATTACGGAGCGGAAAATTTCATTTTATGAACCTGTTAAATCACTTCAGATATCACTTATGCATAAACAGCTGATTGCATTCAGTCTGGAGATACTCTTTTGGTCACATTTTGAATTTGATGGTGAGCTACAAGTTTAACATTATCAATTATTAAACTACAAACTGAACTAGAAAAAAATATTTTCTTACAGAGTGCAAAGTAGCCATGATTTTGTACCTTTGCCATTGGCTGTTTGAAGCCTAGTTTATAAACATCAATGCTGTATTCTGAACGCCTCCCTTGCTTGAGAGCCAACGGGCCAGTTAAACCTTGGAAGTATATCTGCATGCAGTAATTATAATGCATCAAACTTTACACCATTGCCTTTAAAATAAACTTAACCATCTCAAGGAAAATTATTTAGCGTTTCAATAGAAAAAAGAAGCTGTTTTTTCTTCGAGTTATGAATTAATTTTAAAAAGGAATTAGTTTTACATCAACAAGATGGATTAAATTATTATTATTTACGTAGAGAAGAGGAGAAATACGACATTAGACAGAGGCACCATCATTTCAAAAGAGATTAGGTGCTCTAAAAGAAATTGTAATTTTACTTTCTTAAAAAAAGCTAGAATTGCCAGACACCTGCCCAGGCGCCACTGATTGTTACTCACATTTTCACAACATAATTCAAATTTTAAAAGCTGTAAAATGAGATAATTGTGTTTTTGACTTAACTAAGGGCAGTAGCAATATTTGATAGACAAGCAGCGGGCAAATTGTCATTTGACACTACACCTTATTTAAAGAATTAATTAAAGGTGAGGTGACATCAGAAGATTTGAAATTATCCATGTCACACGTCCGAGAAGGGTGGGTCCGAGCAGTGTGTTGTTTGGGTATCTCAAACATGAGAGCTTCGTGCAGGGCCCTCACAGCGTCTATCATGAGAGCTGAACCCGTCTGTTAAAAAATGTAACCCTTTTTTTAGGATAACAAAAATTGGAAATTGAAATTATAATCCTACTATTATTTAAGGTCTTTTTTGAAGTTTGTTTTGTTTGTCACCAATTTAACTTATCAGATATCTCCTGAATTTCATAATTCAAATAATTGGTTTTTCATATTTCTCTTAATGTAATTATAGTTATAATAGGCAGAGGTTTATTACAATTATTTTATTTTTTCTTTCATTTTCATTTGCTTTGCACTAAACTTAAAATCATCATTAAATCTTTTATAATCATTGGGGCATTATCATATAAAATATAGGCCTGAATCATATAAAAAATTGGACACCTGGGGTTAATTATTAATAGGACAACCAGGAAAAACCCTTAAGTTTATCAACCACTTATACTTCCCCACCTTTAGTGGAAATAAATTTGGAAAATCATCCTTATACTGCTCCCACATTTGCTGCCACTTTCTATATGTGTCTGTTTGGTTATTAACAAACTGGAACGCTGTGATCTCAACACCTCCATACAGAAACTGGGAGAAGAAGTCACGATCTAAGTTCAAATCCATGGCATCCTGTTTGAAATTGAAAGATATAAAAATGTAAGCGGTGACAATGTTTATTTAATTGGAATTGTAAATATCAACTGTCTTTGGTTTTATACTAAGAACATAAAATAAGACGGCAAAAAAAAAATCAAAAGTCGTTAAAAAAACAAAGAATATTTTATTAATGTTATTAAAATTTATGATTAGGATAAAAATTCCATTTGTTTTGAAGTTATTTGAAGAACTAAAACACCTTTTGTGATTTCCTAGTGTTTAAAGCATATATTTGAAGATACTGTCAAAGTGTTATGATTATAACTTTAAATTAAAAGAGTCACATTTGTGTAGGCCTACATGCTAATCTAATCTATGTCTATATATTTTGTTTTGTTCATTTATTTAAAAAATTTCACTTCTTAAATGTCTATCAGTGAGTGCAAGACATGGCATATCATAACGCTAAATACTTACAGCTCCAGCTAATATATAGTGATAATTCTCTCTATTCATGCCAACATCAACAATCTGAAGAAGTTTTTTTTAAAAATATGTGGGAAGGGGGAAAAAATACTTGAATAAATAAATAAATCTGCTTTGAAATATCATTTGTTAAAAACAAAAGGTCAATCTGATGATTTTACCAATTAAATATCCTCAGGTTTAATTTTTAATATTTTTTTTCAATAACTCATTTCTATGTTTTCAAATTGAACAGCAGAACTGAGTTTGAGTTGATTTCCTGTGTTTTAACTGAAGAGCAAAAGAAAGGAGTGAGAGTTCTTGGTTAACAGACGATGTAGTGAGTAGAGAGTATGAGATGTAGTGAGCAGAGAGAATAAGTGCTATAAAAAAATCAGTAATCCATTATGAAAGATGGACATTTTTTTGTGTTCATTTGGGATAGAAAAAAGATATCAATTTGATTTACTGGCTAGTTTGTTTTTTCTGGAAGAGAGGAAAAAGATTCAAATAAAATGTACATAAAACCATGCACCTTTAGAAAAAAAACAAATTATTAAGATTAGCCACTGTAATCGGAACATTCAAAGTGGAAGAGAATTTAACATGCTACTCATCTTTGAATTAAAATTTTTCTCATTAATCAGCAATGGATATTTATTATAACATTACACACAACAGCCTTCTCTTTACTCAGCCATGGATATCTAAGAATAACATCAGATACACACAGTGTTCTCATTACCCAGCCATAGAGATCTGAAGAACAACATTAGACACAACAGTGTTCTCTCTGACCTGCTCTAAAATTATCTTGTATGCTTGTGTAGTTGACAAATCCAAGACAATAGTCTTCTCCTCTGAAAGTTTATCCAAGGCTCTTAGTATTACATACGCTTTTGAAATATCTCTAACACGGAAGGCATCCAGTACACGAGGCATTATGTCTTTCATCTGGAAATATTGGTACATTCTCTGCAGGCGCCACAGCCCTGAAATGTTATAAAAAATAAGTTGCTGACAACGCCTTTCTGAAAGTCAGTATTGTTAAAGGCATTTATATGCACGTCATATAGGTTAAGTAAAATATGAGACTAAAATATTGTACGCTATTTATATCATATGTATAAAATGAAATGTAATACACACATTTTTAAAAATATTTTTTAATATGCTAGCATTTATAAGTTTGTAAGTTTATTTTTTCATCAGTGCATTTACCTGATGGATTACAACAATTTAAACAAAAAAACATGAATTAGATTAATAATTGATTTATTAAATAAAAATTCAGTTAGGGTAAGGGTGAGGGTAAGGTTAAGGCTAGAGGTAAGGTAAGGGTAAAGGTTAGGGTTAAGTTAAGGGTGATGAGGAGTTCAGCTTATTTAGTCAATATCAGTTAATTTCTGAATATTATTTGTCAAACCAAATGTCTAGCAAAGACTGTTTTGAGCCAGGGTCATCTTTACAGCAGCGGAAGCGCTAAGCAGAGCAATGCACTGTGGCCCCTAACCCTCTTTATACTCAGGGCCGTGCGAAGAAGGGGGAGAGAGGGCCAATAACCCCTGCCCCAATAAAAGGGGCAACAAAGACAGGCCCTCAATAGTGAATTAAACTACAAGATCCCATGTACTTCACATAGACAGGGGCAGTAAAATCATCTAACTAGTTCAGAATGGGAATGGCTGTCTATAGCCTACTATTCTAGTAATGTTATGAAAAGCATTATGGCCCAGTTATGCCTATGCGTTTTGACCAGTTTCTTTTAGGTAATTTTTCCACAGGGGATTGGGGGTAGTATTTCAGGTGTTCGGGAGAGGGGGAAGGGCATCTAACAGCACCAAAATTAGGCATTTTGATACCCAGGGCCAGCTATGACTTTGTCGCCATCGCTATACATAACCATAAATTCTTTCTGGTAGTGGAGCCCATTGCGGGTATTCTTTTAGCTCCAGCTTATTTTCGTCCCGAGAGTATTTAAAGTCCAACTACGTAACATATACAAAACAAAAGGAAAAACATAATTTGGTCCTTCAAAAACTCATTTTATTTACTTAAATCTAGCACTTAAATTGAGGAGGGAGAAGAGATCGAGGGCGCCAAATGAAACTGGCTGTAAGAAACTGGTGTAAGAAAGGTGTCAGTAAACCCCCCTCAGAAAATGTTTGATAAATTCAATATGATGGGATGTAATTTTGGTGCATACTTTAATTTCGTTTTGGATTATTCTACACTAAACCTGCTAGCAACAGAAAAGATGCTAGTTAATATTTTAGTTTGCCTTGACCATGAATGGGTTACACAAATCCTTTTTAATTTTAGTTCTATCTAAATAGTAATGTTTCATAACTTTCTTTGAAACTATTTATTTGTTTGAACTAATTCATCAATAAATGAATATAATTTTTTTTTTTTAAATTCCGTTCAAAACAGGCGATAGTTAATTTCAAAAAAGGAAAAATAATCTATTCGTATGTTAGTATAATAATTATCAATTTGGATTTAAGTTACGTTTTGGAAGTAGGTTTTCCAAAAGTTACAGTTTACAAAAAATTAGAAAAAAAATGCAGTTTTGTAGAAAATGTTTATAGATTTTGTATAGCTATTTAAAACAGTTAATTTTGTAAATAAATTGTAGTTAAATGTTGTTTTTTTTTAAAAATTTTAAAGTTAATTAAAGGTGAGGTGACATCAGAAGATTTGTCATTTATTTATTAATATCTGATTTATCTGAGGAAAAATGAGACAGCATGAATTTCCAAACAAATTCAGTAACTTAATATTATTAATTATACGTTTTCATTTATTTGGAATTTCTAACTACTACAACTTTCTTCATTTAAATTACTAAACAATGAATGTTTGGTGCCTTTTGTCAGACTCTTTAATTTTGATTTACCCCTTGGCCAATTCCACACCAAGAAAATATTTAATGAATTTTTTTCCAAATTGACCAGTGATTATTTATTAAAAAAAGAAACTTTTTCTGAAGCAAGTACTGTACCAAACAATTGAAATGGCTTTCATTTTAAAAGCAAAATAAATTGACAGAAATATTGCCATATTTCAATATTCACTAATAATATTGGCAGCATAATGCCCCTAGAAGTGTGAGGCACCCTAGAGGCGTGATGACCCCCTAGACCAGTGGTTCTCAACCTTTCTAATGCCGCGACCCTTTAGCCTTTAATTAGTTTAATACAGTTCCTCATGTTGCGGCGACCCCCAACCACAAAATTATTTTCGTTGACACATTATAACTGTAAAGTAGAAGTGTTTCCAAATGGTCTTATGCGACCCCCGTGAAAGGGTCGTGCGACCCCCAAAGGGGTCACGACCCACAGGTTGAGAACCGCTGCCCTAGATCTAGAATTAGAAACTAGAGCAGGGGTCCGGAACCTTTTTGTCTGAGAGAGCCATGGACACCACATATTTTGAAAAGTAATCTGTGAGAGTCATACATTATGTTTAAAACTAAAAATTCAAGTAAATGTGTGCATTTTGTGTAATTTCAACACTAAAAATGCAATAATTATGTCTCTGAATTCTTTTTAATAACATTATTATGCTGTTGCTAATCAATAATGAGTATTTCTTACCATTAATGCGACTTTTTTTATAATCGAACATTTGTCTACGAGCCAGATGCAGCCATCAAAAGAGCCACATCTGGCTCGTGAGCCACAGGTTCCCGACCCCTGGACTAGAGCGAGGCCGCCTCGAGTATGAGACCACTTAGAGGGGTGAGAGTGAGACCATGGGGTAAGTGCGCAGTGTCCCCATTATGCCTTAAGACGGCACTGCTTTTCTCCACTAATTTCAACACTCAGTTCGGAGCAGTCGCGAAGCTAAGGATATTACCGCTCGGAACTAGCATCTTAGTCTAATCTTATTGTAAACACAAATTATTACTTTATCCTTCCCGATTTATATCAGATGGGAGAAATTAAACTTGTTGACGAGAGTTATCCCCCATTAAGATGTATCCCAACTTGTGATTCGCAATTATAATATTAATTTGGGAATGTGCCGGTAACATCGTAAGTTGAAATTGGGAAACGTGATGTATACTGACTGTCTTTTAAATCAAATTAAATTTGCCAAAATCTTTCAAATTCATTAAAAATATGTAAATCATTATGTCTCTAAAAGATTGAGTATCCTAGAAGCGAGAAGTCTTTTTTTTAATTATTCAAAGAATAACTACAAAAAAAAAATTATCATTGATTAAAAATTCTTATCTGGTTGGAAAAGGCACCATAAAATAGAGATCACAAAGACCATGCCCCACGTAGTCACTTAACTATACGTGTCCCTCATATTTACAAATTAAATTTGCCAAAATCTTTCAAATTCATTAAAAATATGTAAATCATTATGTCTCTAAAAGATTGAGTATCCTAGAAGCGAGAAGTCTTTTTGTTAATTATTCAAAGAATAACTACAAAAAAAAAAAAAATTATCATTGATTAAAAATTCTTATCTGGTTGGAAAAGGCACCATAAAATAGAGATCACAAAGACCATGCCCCACGTAGTCACTTAACTATACGTGTCCCTCATATTTAGTTAAAGGTAGAGACTAAAATCTGCTTAGGCCTCCTGATGTTTACGACAGGAACCCTGTGTTGACGCTAGAATAAGGTGTGGAAATAGCTGATGGCCTTACGCGACCCCTGGGAAAGGGTCGCTCGATCCCCAAAGTGGTCGCGACCCACAGGTTGAGAACCGCTGCCCTAGACGAACGAGAGAGGCAATCTTTGGAGTGAAAATTTGATAGAATGTGTTGTCATCGACAGCTAGGCTATGTATAAATTTCACATTGATAGGTTGACGGGAAGTATAGTTCAATTAGCCGTCTGAAGATTCTGCCCTTGACACAAAAGCATGTTAATATAAAGGATTTAAAAAGGGAATAGTTTATTATACATCTATATATATATATTTTAAACCCAATACTCTACCGTCATCACTGTCATAGACATAAAAGACCTTGTTGTCGGCTAGCGATAAGTTGGCCACAACTTTCATGACGGCCTCTATGTAAGGTGGGCAGACGCTGAGGTCGTAGTGGTAGCCGTCCGAGGGGTTGGGGCGCGAGGGCGTCACCAGGATGTACGGCACTTGAAGGGCCTGACAGTAGGACTGTATGGTGTTGAAGCTGGACGCCCGGCTGGTCCCCACGATGACCATGACACCTTCATTAGCCATGCCACATACTGAAAAGATGGGAAAAATTTCGCTCTGACACATAATTTCACAAGTTTCAATGCTTCACAACATATTTAATATAAATGAAATTCCCTTTAATGGTTCCACTTTCACAATAGATTTAATGGATTTGAAATTTCATTTTCTAATGATTTCCCAATAGATTTAATATATAGGAAGTTTTCCTTTTTTTAAATAGTGATTTTACAATAGATATAATATATGCGAAATTTCGTTTTTTTAAATGTTTTACAATACATTTCATATATGTGAAATTTCGTTTTTAAAATGTTTTTTTAACACATTTAATGTATGTGAAATTCCTTTTTAATTTTTTTTTCAAATTTTATTTTTCACAATATTTTATTTTTTTATATTTTCTTTTTTTTTTTTTTTTTGATTTCACAATTGATTTATTAAATGTAAATTTGTTTTTTCAAAAACAATTTTACAATAGATTTAGTATTTGTGAAATGTCCCTTTTCGTGAATGCTTTATTGAGCAAGACAAAGAAAGTAACAAACAGAATCAAACGATTTTATTGACATTTATGTCAAGACATTGGAAAATTGTTAATCGAATAAAATTGATCTCGTGGTCTTAAATTCTGCTAGTTAAATCATTTTTAAATTTATTGCAACTTAAAAAAAAAAAAAATGTTTGCATGTCTGATAATGAATAAATAAGTTTATATAATAATTACATTTTACTACTGTTTAAGAATGGACATTTATGTTCGAATCATAACAAAATGCTAAATTTAGCCAAGTAACAATAGTTATACATGAACAGATATTAGATTATGTGACATATATTTGATGGCCATGTCGCAAAACGGGTTTTGTTGTTGTTGTTTTTTTTAATGGGGCTTCAGCCCTTACCGATAACAAACTATTTTGACGTAGTGGTGGTCAGTACGGGACCGCCCCCCTCCGTGATCTATAGTTTGAATATCTAGGTGTTGAGACGTAAATAATTCAAACAACTCCAGATGCAACATAGTTGATTATGAAGTGCACTTGTACCTAATATATATATAAAAGTTCTTCTTAAACTCTCCTGGCTCTGTCACCGACTCACTGTTGAACATCCCTGTGTCTCTTTACAGTTCGACAGTCCAACTCCTCTCCCTGGCTCTATCACAGACTAACTCTTTACTCTCTCCATTTCTCTCTACAATGAAACAGTCCAACTCTTCTACTTCAACTAGACTGTCCTTCCACGCCTGACTCTAGTGTCCTCCCTTGACTTTACTCCCCCTACCGGATATGCCCAAACCAGTTAACCTATCCCTGACCCCCTTCAATTCCTGTTAATTAGGAGCTCCCATCGTTAACCCAATAACTTACACACATCGCCCGGGAAATCAAGATACATCGCCTGGGAAATCAACATACATCAACATAGATCAATATATATCCACATAAATCAATGTAAATCAACATACATCGCCTTAGATCTCTAAAGTTAAACCTAAAACCAGTTTGCTTTGCCTGGAAAGCCCTTAACATAATAATGTCATTTTGAAGAAGAAAAAAAAAAGCCCCTCTATCATCCCTTCCCATAATAAAAGCCATGATTCAGTGACACACAGGGTACCTCGAACGACCATAGCGGTAGTGTTCAGCATCCCAGCCCCACATTCATTGAACCAGTGGTTCAGAAAAGACTAAAAAAGACGGCTCTCACTTGTTCCTCCGAGTTTGTAGTTGTCGCTGAACACCGTCCTGTTCCTCAGCGTTGGGAAGACCCGCGCCATCTCTCTGCCGGGCCTCCGTTCATTCAGGAGGTTGCTGTTGACCACCATGGTGGCGAAGTCAAACGCCTGTTCGTACTCCGTGTCTTTGGTCGGCATGTCTTCTTGTAAGATCAACCCTGTTGAGCAAAAATGACCCGGGGGGGGATGAGGGGAAGGGGGGGGGAGAAAATATTTATCCATTATAATAATAGCAAAGCAAAAGATGATAAATCCCGAAGTCTTATTGAAACTTGATATTTTAGTTCACAGTTCGCCATTCAATGGTGAGCATGCTGTTGGGTTTTTTTTTTTTTTTTTTTTTTTTTTTTTTTTTTTGTTTTTTTTGTTGTTGCTATAATTGAATGATACTTCAACTAACCAAACTGTGATAAAATGGGCACACACTAACATCAATATCTTTGACATAGTGTGGTGGGGGTGGGGGGGTGGGGAATGAAGTTTCATTAAATTTCAAATGAAAACGATGGTTAGGTGGCAAAGTTCCTCTTAAGTATAATGAAACAGCTTTCAAGCCGAGAGGTCTAGCCTCATTTCTGATCTCTTCTTGTATAGACTGCCTACATTTCGGCGTGTCATGGCGTGGTTACTTACCGTGGTCATGACTGGTCTGTTACTCTGGTAATGGGCGATTTGTTACTGTGCGAGACTGAATATTTTAATATATTTAAAGTCGTGTAGCGCTATCCCCCCCCCCCCCCCCCCCCCCCCCCGGCCACACACACAAAACAAGGCTAATATGAATTCGAGAATCAACCAATGAAACTAGAATTGTCGTCAGAGGCGTAGCTAATGGTGGGAGGGGGGGGCAGGGGGGACAGATTTCCCCAGGCACCAGACGAGTTAGGGGCGCCAAAAGATGCTTTGATTTTACTTTATTGATGAAAATAATGGGTTTTAGAGTTGAAAAAAAAAAAAAGAAAGGGAGGCGCTTTCTAATGAATCTTGTCCCCGGGCGCCAAACAATCTAGCTACGCCTCTGAATCTAGCTGTCTTTCGCTTGAATAACAATGAGATTCGCAGACGATCCCTTGGACTATAAGAGAAGCCGACGGGCTCAGTTCTTCCCATTTTTCGTGTGTGATACTTAAACCCATGTTATTTGTTTCAGATGACAGACTTGACACCTCTTTGTGTAGCGATCAAGATTACGAAGTTTCACCGAGAATGTAGATTTTCTGCGCCCCCACATCTTCTAAGATGACGGGGTGTCACCACCATCACCACCATTAGACATGCATTAGACAAATTAATTACTAATTAATTAAGGCATACATTGATCAGTTTACAATGTTAAAATATCTTTAGGTGGAGGGTGCGTGTCACATTGGACTAAAGTAAAATACCTTTATGTGAAGGGTGCGTGTTACATTTTCCTAAAGTAGAATACCTTTATGTTAAGGGTGCGTGTTACATTTTCCTAAAGTAGAATACCTTTATGTTAAGGGTGCGTGTTACATTTGCCTAAAGTAGAGTACCTTTATGTTAAGGGTGCGTGTTAAATTTGCCTAAAGTAGAATACCTTTATGTTAAGGGTGCGTGTTACATTTTCTTAAGGTAGAATACCTTTATGTTAAGGGTGCGTGTTACATTTGCCTAAAGTAGAATACCTTTATGTTAAGGGTGCGTGTTACATTTTCCTAAAGTAGAATACCTTTATGTTAAGGGTGAGTGTTAAATTTGCCTATAATACAATACCTTTATGTTAAGGGTGCGTGTTAAATTTGCCTAAAATACAATACCTTTATGTTAAGGGTGCGTGTTAAATTTGCCTAACGTAAAATACCTTTATGTGAAGGGTGCGTGTTAAATTTGCCTAAAATACAATACCTTTATGGATGCGTGTCAAATTTGACTAAAGTCAAATAAAATCGTTTAGATGACCCTTGGAAGAAAATAAGATTTTATTTGGGGTGGGTGCCTGGCTGACCTTTGACAAATATTACTTTTTTTTGCTTTGCATTTCACGATTTCCGACAACTTGCGAACGGAATGATGGCCCTTTTTTTTTTAATTGCGGCTAAAAACACGTTAGAAAAGGATTGATTCCATTTTATTGAATTTAATGCGCATGGGTCGTCACGCGATGTATTGGAGTGAATCAAGAGTGAAGCTGGTGACGAAAGGAAAACATGGAATAATCTCAGATGTTCAAATACTCATAACTTTTTAACAATATATATATATATATATATATATATATATATATATATAAAGAGTGAAGATGGTGAAGAAAAGATAACATAGAATAATCTTATATGTTTAAATACTCATAACTTTTTAAAAATATATATATATATATATATATATATATATATATATATATATACATACACATATTTATATTAATATAATTATTAATATACGTTGCATCCTGCAAAATTAAACAGCTCATTATACAAACAATATATATTACACTTAAACGGACATGCTCTCAGCAAAGGCGACAATGCAGTAGGCCGTATGAGATTTTTATGCTACACACAGGACTACCTCGAGCGCCACCACATCGAGTTCTGCCGATTCGTGCGTCCGTAGTTTAAGTAAACCGTCTACATTTCTTGATGTTACTGCGTCGTGCATGATCACTGGGAGCCTTGAGCATGTGCAGGAGTTGTGCCCAGACCAAACTCTGTCGAAAGTTGCCAAGCGGCCACCGAGCAGAGATACTTTTCAAATCGAGCCTTTTTCTTTTTTTTTCTTAAAAAAAGCTAAATGCAACTTTGCATGAGGTAGCTCTCTTTGAAGACCTCAAACACCATATGTAGCAATGATGGATTTTTGGGTGGCCGAGCGGTCTAAATTCTCTCAAACCAAAGAGCGTGTGGTCTGGAGTTCAATCCCCACCAATGCCCTGGACGGCAACTCATCTAAGAGAAGGCAAACTCTGAATTCAAACCAGGAGCCAGAATGATCAACACATTGAGCGAAGAAGAGGAATTTCTATGGACATTGGGGAATCGTGACATCTTCGGATATGTTCGCCGCAATTCGGGGCGTTTTTTTTTGGTTACGAATACTTGCAAATAGTTCCGAAACTTACACAAATAAGAAGATTGTAATAATAAAAAAAAAAAGATTGCGTGGGATAAACATGCTTATTTAAAAGCTAACAAAATAAAATGAAGATTTATATGGTTCTGTGCAAGAGTTATCTTCCGTTATAAAGGGGAAAGGAAAAAAAGTAGGAAGAAAAAATAAAAAAAAGGGTGGGGGGGGGGGAGTGGGGGAGTTTATGATCATCTGTCAAGTTTCAACCAAGCAAAAGCTTGGGAAAAAAGAACTTCGACAAACCTGGAACTTTTGGCGACGGAGTATTTAAAACCTTTTTTAAAATTTTTTTAGCATGTGTGGGCTAGAAATAATACATGTAGTTAAAATACAACTACAGGCATTTTTGGGAAAGTTATTTTATGCTTGACACCAGGGTTCAAAAAACTTTTGTGTTTTTTTTGGTGTGTTTTTTTAAGTGGACGAGGGCCGGTAAAAAGATCTCGCCAAGCTCCGGAAGCCAGGGATGGATCGTGCCAAGGTCAAGGTTGTTACATGCATGATCGGAGCATCTCACAGATGATTGGTTATTTTTTGTAAAAAAAGCTTATTTAAAACCTGTACATACACATTTGGCGTTTGTCAATTTGCAATGGGAAGCAAGAAATGTGTGCTGTTTTTTTTTTTTTTAAATCCTCTTATATTAATTAACTTCGATTTTGTTCGTGTTTGGCCGGCAAAAACTTCGGACGGCTAATTCACTCACTTCCCGTCAACTGATCGAGGTTAAACTCGACACGTGTTGTCGTTGCCGACGACAACACACAGTATCAAATTTTGAGCGCCAACCCCAAGCCCAAACCCCAAGACCCCAAAATAAGCTTTTCATGTCATTCAGTGAAGGAAATTCCACGAATTACAATTTCCTATAACTGCGCTAAATGAGATTCTGTTTTTTTAGAAAAAAAACATGTCAAGTTGTAATATTTTCTTTTGTTTTTCTGAAATAGTTGGTAAAATAAATCCGTGGGGTAAAAGCGGATGGGTCTTTACAATAGTAATGTAGTTCAGGGGTGTGAAACAAAAAGTGCGGTATCGAGCCTGTGGAAAGGGGGGGGGGGGGGGNTTTTTAGCGCCCATTTATTTTTGCTCGATATTAGGGCCCACATCTATAGATTGTGGCATTTTATTGATCAAATATGTGGGAGACCGCCGGCTTTAAATTGATATCTGGAAATGACGACAGCTCGACAAGAGTTATTTCGGCGCAGATCTGGAGCAGACGATAAGATGAGATGGAAAGTGTGTTAATAATGTGTGTAAACAAGGTAAGAAGCTTATGGGTGGAAGCACATTGGAAATAATTTTGTATTTAATGGGGTTTTTTTTTTGGGGGGGGGGGGGTGTTGCTTCCATTAATATTGGAGCTGCTGACAATATTTCTTTTTCAAAATCTTCTTGTTGGTCCCATCCACGAATGTAGCATTGCATATTTGATTCGTTTCAGATACAAACATATCTATAAGGAATTTATGCGAAAAACTTGGCTTTTAGGGGTCGTTTCATTGATTTCAAGCCTCAACAGATCGATTTCCACTGTTTCATTCAAATGGCTTGAACGCAGTCCTTCTTTTAATAATACTGTTTACTCTATTAATGTTTTATTTAAGGTTTCGGATCACTGTGGCTCGTTCTTGGAGTTGTTTTCGAGTGGAATAAAGACTTCACGGAGGCTGTCCCAAAAAAACAACAAACGAACAAAGTATTGCTAAAATAAGGAAAAGAATAATTGGGAATGGCTGAAATTGATTGGACAAATGGAATCACGTGACGCTGCAAAAAAAGCTTTGTTCCATTTATGTAAATTAAATTATGAGTGGTGCAGTGCGTATAGGTCCGGTGTTATCAGTAGGTTGTTCCCCCCACCCCCCCCCCACCTCTAAAGACGAATGTGTTCGTTCCCAAAAACCGAACACCCTCCCTACTAAACCGCATGGGAAATGGGTATGTAATGGACCTCAGCGTTGGATGGGAATTGGTCTGAACGATAATTAAATACAACATGTGCGGGCGAGGGAGAAAAGGGGATTAGGGTGGTGGTGGGGGTGGGGTAAACAGGAAGCAAAGAA